CATGGTTGCAGATTTAATGGTCATTTACAGTCCCATACTACTATGCAAAGCCAGAACTATCTGCATTTTATGGTTTTTAAAAAATGTTTATTTATTTTGAAAGAGAGTATGAAAAAGAAAGAGAGAGCGTGTGCGCACACGCAGGCATGAGTGGGGGAGGGGTAGAGAGCGAGGGAGAGAGAGAATCTGTGCTGATAGCACAGGGTCCCATGTGGGGCTCGATCTCATGATCGCACGAACTGTGAGATCATGACCTGAGCTGAAATCAAGAGTCTTAACCTACTGAGCCACCCAGGCACCTCATCTGTATTTTTTTAAAGCTTATCTGCTAACATATATTGGAGATGCTATCCCAGGACAACAAAAGTGAAGGCAATATTATCAGCGGCTGCCGTATGGAGATTGAAGTCACAAAGAGTTATTCTTCTGATTACTTGTGCTCTAAGAAAGAGAATTTGAAATAAGGTTTCTGTTGCTATACACATTTTTAAATGAAAGGTCCGGACAAAAAGGGAAGATTCCAGCAGGATGTTGGTGTCTTCTTTTTATTTTTAAATTTGAGTCTGTCAATGGAGAAATAACAAGAGATGCATCTCACAATGCAATCCCAACAGTAGAACATTAACCCAACCCTAATCCCAACTTCTTCGAGTATAAGGACAAATCTGAGAAAGACCCCGAGACTTTTTACTTCTCCTAGTCTGTCTTCTGTTTAGACAGCTGAAAGTTGGAGCTTTTCTGCAGTAGTTGAAGGTGTTGTTGAGTCTCCTCTTTGACCATTATTTTCCTGCTTCCTTTCATGAGAACCCAGGAGAAAAATTAAGTTCCATGCATAATTTCTTTTCCTTTTTCAGTTCTTTTTCTCTGAGATTCAACACCGCCACCAACCACTACCACAATTCCAAGATCTGTGATATTCTGTTGAATAAAACTTGTAGTCCCAAGAGTATTTAGAAGGAAGTAGATTGAGGGGTGCCTGGGTGGCTCAGTCAGTTAAGTCTGATTTCGCCTCAGGTCATGATCTCACAGTTTGTGGGTTCGAGCCCCGCATCAGGCTCTGTGCTGACAACTCAGAGCCTGGAGCCTGCTTCAGATTCTGTGTCTCCCTCTCTCTCTCTGCCTCTCCTCAGCTTGCACTCTGTCTCTCTCTCCCTCAAAATAAATAAACATTAAAAAAATTAAAAAAAAGAAGGAAGTAGATAGACACGACACAAGCCTGCAAAGGCTGAGAGTCGGGGAGGGTGTTCAATCCTTTAAGATTTGCAGTTTGGAGACTCAGCTTTTGTGGACTCTAAAACTGCCAGAAGTCTGAACTTAAGCTCTAGGCAAGAAGTCCTCAAAATTAGCATACCAGTGGTTTCTCCTGTTGTCAATGGATGTGAGTTTACCAACTATAGTGGTGTTTCACACATTTCTTAAATCCTAGGGAGCAGGGGTTTCCAGCAAAGTTTTTTTCTCTGTTAAAAATAATACTGGAGGAAGTCTTAAGCCATGGAATACTAATGCTTTATTGTAAGACACACAGTCAAGAGAGTTTATCTTCTGTGATTTTATCTTACTTGGACCTCATTCCAGAAAGAAAAAAATATTTTCAAACATGCCCTCAATGTGAATTGGGAAAGTTTAAGCTGCCATGCCTCCATTTCAGGCCAGACATGATAAACTGTTTACAGACCCCAGGTCCAGTTGACTCTAAACAATTCATCAATATCAGTCAAAGGGTTTACTTCTTAACAATATCGGTACTTGTATATTCCAAGTGTTGCTTAGTATTATCAGTAATTAACATCAGAACCAGACATATAACCAAAATGCAAATGTAAAAACACATTTTCTGCCTAAAGGCCATGTTTTTAAAGTTCTCAAATTTCTGAATACTATCATCCAAGTCTTGGACATAGTTTTCTAAGATTTTTACTAGAGTTCTAATGGAAGGAAGAAAATGAAGGTCTATTCTAAAACGTCTTTAGCCAGCAAAATATTTTTTGTATATTTACGAATTTACTTTTAAAATTTTGGTTCTCCTTCATCTAAACTTTTACATTTTTTTGTGTTCTGTTTTTTACACAATCTACCAGGGTAGTAACACATATACAAATAAGCAAACATACATTGTGGATCCATGTTCAAAATGTTTTTTTTTTTAATTTTTTTTAACGTTTATTTTTGAGACAGAGAGAGACAGAGCATGAATGAGGGAGGGTCAGAGAGAGGGAGACACAGAATCTGAAATAGGCTCCAGGCTCTGAGCTGTCAGCACAGAGCCCGATGCGGGGTTCGAACTCACGGACCGCGAGATCATGACCCGAGCTGAAGTCGGCTGCTCAACCGACTGAGCCACCCAGGCACCCCTCAAAATGTTTTATGTTATGGGTCTATAATAAAAATAAATTGTGGACCACTGCCTTAAAGAAATTTCCATTTAGAGAGTAGATGAATGACATATTTTTACAAGTTGAAGATTATGGTACATCTTTGAAGCAGGAATGTTGACCAAAATTTTGATCCACATACAAGCTGAAAACACTAATTTCTACGGATTGAATACGGTATTGGTATCCTACGTTAAATCAATCAATCAATCAACCATTAGCCAACTAACTCACAAAACTTCGATCTTTATGGAAGTTCCTTTCCTTACTAACTAGAATCTCTGAAGGGCTTAATGTCACAAAAAATCAACTGAAAAAAATATTCACCTATAGAAGACTAAACGAACCAATCAACTCTGCCAGAAAGTTGGGGGTTTAGTGAAAGATTCTTTTGTCTAAGTTATTTGATGTCATGCAGTGGAAACAACAAATTGAGTGAATTTGTGATTTTCCTACCTATCTTGTCACCATTGCAAAAAGACATATAGAAATTCCCACCAGAGAATTGACTCTTCATCTCAAGTAGCACAAGCTCTTTTCTTAAGCTAGAATTCAAGCATGATCATTTTGTGACAATGGTTCTGCTTCTAGTAAAATTAATGTTTAGCCCATGTGGTGAACCACAATTTGCCCTTCATTATTGACAATTTCTAATGGCATACAATATAATTATTGTTAAATAGAGATAACACTAGGAATAACAAAAGAATAAATGTTTTCAATTTTAGATACTGATTACCCCCCAAAATAATTATTGCCATCACAATGTAACAAAGTGTTAAAATGGGACTCTTTCCGTCTCGGTTTCTGCTTAGGCCCAATAGGTGTTTTCTCTTCCCTCATTCCAAAGCGAGATGCTATGCCACTAAAACAGGAGCAAAGGAGATACACAAGAATTAGTCTTGCAACCCACTGGTGACCACTTCCAGCTTCTAAAATGTATTGCAGAAACCAAGAGATGGGCGTAGATTGGAAGAAGATTTTGAAAGTCTTACCATTGTATATGACGGGGAGAGGTACTCTTCCCTCAACTCAAGCCTAGGGAACGTGGCTCCAATGGCACTGATAGGTTCAACAGGAGAGCTTGGGGACACTGCACACCAATTTCAAGTCTCTACCTAGGAAATCTAGAGTAAGAAGGACAGGCTGCCTCGCTGTTTTGATGGCAGAATAAGAGATGCGTTCATACTGGAAAGAAATGGACTTTTGTCAGAGCAAAGTACATGAAGGGATTCCCATGAACCAATACAGATTGAGAAAGAGACTTAGCATGGTATTGTTTCACATGATGGCCAAGAGACCTCGAAGGGTGGGGAGATCTCTGTGAAAGGAGTCTGGATGTGTTCCCTTGGATGGCAGGAGAAATGTAATTGTCCACCACCAAGGACTATTGTGAGAAATTTCCAGTGATGACAGAGTTCTCCCAAGGACCCTCAAAAGCACCCCAGAAGATGAAGTGTCAGCCTTAAGCACCTAGGCCAATGCTAAATTGCTAGAACAGAATCAGACTTTGCCTGACCCTTAACTCCTCACTTTCCCTTGGCTTTACTTGGAGCGACTAAAGGTGGGAAATAGAGGAAACAATTCATGGTCCCTCGTCCCTTTAGAGGAGGCCGGCTTGAATCAGGCATGAGATGGAAGGAAGAAGGGTGTTAACTTGCAGTACATTTCTTAGAGTTAAAAAAAATCATTATTATTATTATGCATTATTTTACTAAGACTCTTTGGAGGGAATAAAGTAGGCACAGAGTATTTTTTTTTTTTTTATTTTCTGAAAGTTACCAGAAAAGCCACAAGGCCCATTGTATTTGACCAGGGACAAGTAAAAACCAAATCTCCAAAGAAGAGATTTGAAGGGTGGTAGAGGAAAAAGAATGAAAATGTTTTCTATGGTATGGACATTATAAATTCTGTTCATATAATCTAATGATTTCAATAATAATAGCTAAAATTTATCAAGTGCTTATTCTATGCCAGACACCGTATGCTTTGCATGTATTAAATCATTCCATCCTCACAATGCTATAAGATTATTATACTCATTTTCTAGGTGAGAAATCGAGGTGCAGAGAGAGGTTAGGCAACCTGCCTGAAGTGGCACTACTAGTAAGTGGCTAAGCCACCAAGAGGGCTATTCCCAGCAAATAAGAATTCAACCTCTTCCCTCAAATTTTTCTTTTCTCTCCACATCCAAAATATTGAATATCAAAAATGGAGGGGCTCCTGGCTGGCTCAGTCAATTAAGTGTCCGACTTCAGCTCAGGTCATGATCTCACTGTTCGTGAGTTCGAGTCCCGCGTCGGGCTCTGTGCTCACAGCTCGGAGCCCGGAGCCTGCTTCGGATTCTGTGTCTCCCTCTCTCTCTGCCCCTTCCCTGCTTGCACTGTGTCTCTCTCTGTCTCAAAAAGAAATAAACATTAAAAAAAATTTTTTTTAAATAAAAAATTTTAAAAAAAGGAAACCACAGCCTTATCAATTTTAGCGCGTTAGCACTTTGCAGGAACACATGAGGCTACACGTGATTTTCTACGCTTTGTTTCAAGAATCGAACACCGAGTCACCCCAGTTCAATGGGGTCTTTTTCTTAAATATCTATTTCTCTTGAATTTTCTTTTTTCTTTTGTGTAGATGTGGACAGCCACTACAAAATAAAGTACAGCTGAAGGGTCGTGACCTCCTCACTCTAAAGGACTTTACAGGAGAAGAAATTAAGTATATGTTATGGCTATCGTCAGATCTAAAATTGAGGATAAAACATGAAGGAGAGGTATGTAGCATTTTCATTTTACCTTCCCCTACTACCAGCCCTTTTAAAGACAGCCTTTCCAAAGAAAGAGGGAAAAGAAAATATATTAAAATTCCTAAACAGTAGCTAAGTAATGAAACCACACAGTCAAGGTAATTGATTATCACTGAGTGTACAGGCGTATAAAAAGCATAAAAATCAGTTATTCAATGACAAGTCATTGTGCTTCTCTCATGCGGAATGTTGAAATTCATTATTAATTGGATCAGAACCTAAGGAATCATTTCTCTGGAAAGATTTTATTTTTATACCTTCATTCTTTTCTCTGTGTGTTTTCTATCAAGTTAAAAATAAGGACAATACTTTTTTTTTTCTTCCTGGCAACAAATTTCAATTGTGGATGAATATCAGATATATGATTATTAGGATAATGTCCAAAAATTCACAGTGATGTTACCGTGTTGAAAATAATTCAGATTAGCAAGGAAACAATTAAGTGGTAACCAAGTAGGAGAAGAGATGGGATATGGTGCTTAGCTGTAAGCATTATTCTGCATTTTGAGCAATTTATGTTTGAAACACGCTTAATTCATGCAGCAGTCTCATTTAGACCGCTTAATTGTGAAAGCATACGTGTTCCAAGCTTGTTCAAAAGCACTTTAAAGAGCTGGTGCCAGGCCAAGAAAGGTTTACACAACCTTGATTTTCTTAATCTAGTTCACTAGCTCTCCAAGTTCTGAGAACAGGAGTGACTCCAAGTGCTATGGGTTGACATTCCCATAGAAGACCTGAAATAAGCAGAAAAGGTCCCCCAAGATCCCAGGCCTGTTCTTCATACTTCATGTGTAAGAAGAGTTAGCTGGCAGGAATCTATTTGTTCCAGAACTCACCCTATCAGGAAGTCCATCTACAGAAGAGGAAGAAGGAAAAGCCCCACCCCACACCCAAACTCTCCAGATTGTTTCCAAAAGACTTCTAGAAACAAAGCCTTTGTGCTCCCACAAGGATGCATGAGAAAAGTGTAGCTGGGGCTTCATCCTTAGGAGTCTTACTGCCCCATGTTGTGACAGAGCAGCATTGTTTCTAGCTGAGAAAACACTTCTGAACCAAGCGTCTTCAAGGTCATTGAACATTGATAGGGGTTTCCATGGATTTAGGTAAAAAGACGGTTCCAGTAAGAAATATTAACATACTTCAGAACAAGTGTTCAGGTTGAACCCAGAGCAACTAATATTTTGGAATTACATGCCCATTATCTGTAGTTCTTGTTCCCTTCCTCCTATTTGTACAGAACATGACAAAAACCACTTTTTTAAAAATTTTTAAATGTTTTTATTTTATTTTTGAGACACACACACACACACACACACACACACACACACACACACACACCCCAGTGAGAGCAGGGGAGGGGCAGAGAGACACAGAATCTGAAGCAGGCTCCAGGCTCTGAGCTGTCAGCACAGAGACTGATGCGGGGCTCAAACCCAGGGACTGTGAGATCATGACCTGAGCTGAAGTTGGACACTTAACCAACTGAGCCACCCAGGTGCCCCATGACAAAAAAACACTTTAAATGCACTTTTACAGTAACATTTTGAGTGCTTATTTGGATGAAGGCAGTGATTAGTTATTCTACATTTTCTGATAATGTAAGGAATAACTTTTGAAACATAATCTTTGATACTGGATATTAAATATATTTTTCATTTTAATTGTATTCTTGTCCTTAATTTTCAGTATTTGCCTTTATTACAAGGGAAGTCCTTAGGCATGATTTTTGAAAAAAGAAGTACTCGAACAAGACTGTCCACAGAAACAGGTGAGTCCACCGACAAGGTCACACTTGTGCTGAAGAGGGGGCCAGAGGGTGAGGATCTGGGAGGAATCATCCAGTGGGGGAATTTGTGTCTCTTTAACAACCACAAAGGGAAAACACTGTCACTGGGAGTAGCAGGGCAAGCCTCTGAATGCTCTTTCCAATTCTCAAAGAAGCTGTAAGCAGAAAGGTTAGTGTCATCTGTAGGAATTCCATGAACACTTGATTAGAAGTCTCCAAGAGCTTTTCGTGTTCAGTAGAAAATGTGAGTGGACACAAATTCTCAGCCTTCAAACTCACGTGGGCAAGAAATGTGTATTTTCCCAACACGTAAAGGATTTTCTCTAGCCTGTACCAATTTTGCAGGATGGTGGAAACCTAATCTTCGCAATGTTAGGCAATCCTCAGTCATTTCAGGGTTTACTTTGTCAATTTGGGTTCTCCTCTCCCTTTCCCCACAGTCATGGTTAAGTCCCGGAGAGTATGCGAGTAAGACATCTAGGGCTATGGGGGTTTGGTCATTGGTCAGCAGGACATCATCATCAAATGGCCACACTGGAGTCTGCTGAGACTTCCGTATCCCCATTGGACCTTGGCTGTCTCCCATTCACTGTGGAGTCTGCTGCACTTGGATCATCACAAGACGTGAAATATTTCTCGGTTTGACTCTCCCAACCTCTTGGCAGTTCTCCTTGCCATCCTGTGTACAGAGAAACTGCAAGGCTTTCTCAATCCTTCCTTCCTCAATCTGGGCGCCACGGAGTACTATAACATGTGTCGCCTCCTAGAACTCTGTCTTAAAGGCAAGACACACATGTTATCAGCTCTGGGGTTCCCCAAACTCATCTGAAATGTCCATCATGCATCCACCCTTCAGTACGTGGCCTGGGAGGACAGACGACAGGTACAGTGTCAAAGGTCCATCACTTTTTATTTCTTCTGCTGCTTCTTTCTCTTGCTCCTCTTTTTCCCCTTCTAGTTCCCAGTATTGGAGGCTAGGTGATAAAGCAGGAAGAAAAAACTGGCTCTGACTCGCCAAGATGTCTTTCAAATCTACTGTTTGTGCCTGGAATTGTAAGCTATTAAAACTCAAAATTTCTCTTTTCTTAAGCTATTATCTCTGTAATGTTTCAAAAAAGTCCATTTTTAAACTTATAAGCCACACACCACCTCTTTTCTTTCTCTCTGCATTTCTGCTTTATCAGACCTCCCCTGAATCAATAAAATGACTGCCCAAATGGACAAATGGACAGGATCAAGTAGGAGGAACCACAAACAAAAACATTGGTTGTTTCTTCAAATAGCTCATCCCATCTACAAGTATCAGAGCTTTCTAGGATTTAGAAGCAAACAACTACTTCATGCAATACTTGCCTTGTAATGGTCAGTAATGAGGTTCATCAAATATGTAACAAAATAAAGTTCAAAGGGATTAAGGGACTTGGTAAATTCACTTACTTAACAAAGAGCACCAGGATTCAGATCTAAACTTCATTGTTCTTACTAATGCACTCCCCTTGCCCCTTGACTGAAGAAAGGAGGGTGAGGGGAAACATGTAAGGTGTCACCTGATCTTTAAGTCCCAGGAAGAAAACAGATGAGAACATTTTGCTCTTTTAAGATGGCCCCTTTACAAAATATGTTGACATCTGACATATAGCAAAGGAAAAATGAATATTGCATAAACAAGTCAATAATTCTCAAATTCTGCTCCTTTTCAACAGCGGTCCTCTATGAGTTGGGCAGAGTTTATTTTGTCAGAACTTAAGAGAGGTGTTCTTTTTTGAAGTCATCAAAATAATTGATTAGTACATGGACATTTATCAATTTTAAGTTTTTTAAAATTAATTTTTCTTAGCTGTTGGTGTTTTATACAACTTTTCTCTGCTCAAATGCTATTTTTGATATCAAATATCCCCAAATAACTGATCAGTTTTACCACTCATATATATTATATGGTAGTTAAGCTATTAATAAAACCAAGAGTGAAGACTTAATAAGCCTTTGGGGGCAGACCTTGTGCCAAATGCTCTACATTAATTACATGGATTATCTCACTTAATCCTTACGACAATTCTGTGAGGGTAAGACCATTGAAGAAAATAGTCTGAAACTGGTTCAGCAAATGGCCCATAGACACAGCTAATAAATGGCAGACCGAGGATCGGTAGCTATTATTAAATGTATTTTTTTAATATCTAATTTAATTTGAACAGGTAATTATCATGTTTTGTTCCAGCAAAATTGTTTCTGTGGATGGCATTAAGCATTTTGTTAAATGACAGTTTTCTATACAGAAGTGCTCTGAAACGAGCACAAAATTGCAACCTGTTATGACAAATACATGAGAAAAGGAACACGTGACCATAAAAAGTTATGGTTCACAGAGTATTCATCATTAACCTCAATAAGTATCCATGGGTCTAATTGTATATGGCATCCTGCCAAACTCAACAGTAGGAGAATCAGAGTAAGTAGTTGCTTTAAATGCTTACAGAAACAGTAAACCTCAACCAAAACCATGGCAGGGCATTTTTATAATGTATATATGCATCTTATGAGTTGTCCTTCGGCACAATTTTCCATCAAAACCTATTACCTTGGTATTTAAATTTTTTTTACTTTTTTTTTATTTTTGAGAGAGAGAGACAGAGAGACAGAGAGACAGAGAGAGAGACAGAAAGAGAGACAGAGAGAGACAGAGCATGAGCAGGGGAGGTGCAGAGAGGGGGGGGAGCCACAGAATCTGACGCAGATTCCAGGCTTTGAGCTGTCAGCACGGAGTTCGATGTGGGGCTCAAACTCACAGACCACGAGATCATGGCCTGAGCTGAAGTCAGGCACTTAACTGGGCCACCCAGGAGCCTCATGTTATCTTGGTATTTAGAACGAAAATGGCATGCTATTAAAACTGTCTATTATTGCCCCAGATTTGTGCCAGTCTCCTCATAGGAAAGTCCTTGAGGATCCTATCCCAAGCCTGAGTTGCAGAGATACGACAGTATTTCTGCTGATCTGAGGGAACAGAATAAAATTCATCACCCAACTTAAGCCATATTAATTGCTCATGTAATCTTTTTATTCAGTGTAAAACACTCATAGAAAAGTGCACAAATCATTATGCATATGTAGTTCGATGAATTCTTACAGTAAACACATCCTTGTAATTAATACCCAGATAGAGAAATAGGGCATTAATAGCACCCCGGAGACCTCCCTTGTATCTCCTTCCAGTTGCCATTCCCCCTACCCAAGGGTAACCATTATCCTGGCTTCTAACATCACAGATTAGCTTTGCCTGTTTTTGAACTTTATATAAATGGAATCATTCAGCATATGTTCTTTTGTGTGTGGTTTCTTTTGCTCAGCATTATGTTTGTGAGATGTACCAACGTCGCTGTGTGTAGTTGTAGATCATTTATTCCTCATCCGCTCTTTTGTGTATGCCTGCCAGGCAAGCTGCACAATTCTCCTGTGTGCCTACTGATGATTATATTCTTTTATTGCAAATTAATTGAGCAGATAGACGGATACATTTATTAATCTCGGTAAGTGCAGTAGCCGATAGAAAAAAATGCACAGGGCGTCCTAAGAGATGGTTCTTTTCATTATTTAACTTTGGTATCTCACTTTCAAGGTGACATAGAAGCTGGCACTTTCTAAGCTATTTCAAATGTATCATCTTTACAAAGGTGACAATATAAAAAATGTGATACTATTCTGCAGGTATGAAAGTAAAGCACAGAGAGGTTCACTACAGCCTTAGTTCTACCAGCAAGAACCCTCAGAGCCCTCATATTTCCAGTGCATGAATTCTAATTATACCCTTCTTCCAAAGCTTGCAGGGACCTGTGAGGAAAAGGGCAAAATCAGATGTAGTCTTATTTTCCCAGGAAGAAATTAAGATATTAACAGAAGAAACGCTTTGTCCAAAAATATCCAACTTGAGTGCATGAACAAATGACAGATAAAAGCAGGCTTCTCTGGATGAAGGGTAAAGAGAAAGGAGAGCCCTGTCCCTCTACCCTCCTCTTCTCAGCAACGGCAGCTCCTGGAGGCTTCTCTGAACCTCTGACCCCCTCCTGAAGCGCTTATCACCAGTCGGGTCCGATGAGCTGGCAAATGCTTGAGCTGTGCTCTTACACTGGGGCCTGAGGTTCCTTTGTGACCAGAGACCACAATTGCAGAGGAAATTCCTTCTCGGAAGCAATGTTGCTCCATCTCATCTCCTTTGAGAAGTGCTGAAGGCTCAGACTCCTATTCTTAATGTTTTCTATAATCCCTCTTCCTACCCCTACCTCATCAGTCCAGGCTTGATGTGAATCTTCTTTATAGCACAGAGACAGAGATGAAAAGGCAGTAACCCAATCCTGCATTGTTATCGCACAATGACTTCTAGTCACAGCATGACTTGGAGCAGACCTGCCAGGAGGTCTTAAACTTTGTCTGAAACCTCCCTCCATAGTCTCCGACCCTCAGCGACATTCATCTCTGTGCGAGGCACATAGTAGGTGCACAAAGAATACTTTCTTGATGAATGTGCAGTATTCACCTTTGCTTAGGTGACGTTCCCTATATAGAAACAGATTTAATACTCAAGAGTGATTAGTGATTATAATCATCACTCAATTCCATTAGCTCACTTCACACATAATAGAAAATTCCATTCTTTCTGTTAACAGCATTAGATGTTTGCAGTCAAAATCCCACCTACATTCATTCAGTAAGTATTTGTTGAGCACTTACTATGTACCAGCATTTATTCTAGGTTCCTGAAAGTGATACACCAGTGAACAAAACAGAGGAAAATTCCTGCCTTCCTGGAGCTTATGTTCTAGTGGGGACACAGACAATAAACGATAGACATATTAAATAAGTGGGTGATATAATGTGTTGGAAAGAAGGAGAACAATGTTCCTGGAACTGAGGGCAAAACGTACTCCCTTATTTGGACTTGGCTTTTACTCTGAGTGAAATGAGGAATTTTTGCAGGGTTTTGAACAGAGGGACATGATCTAACTTGCATTTTAAAAGGCTCTCTCGGACTGCTCTATTGAAAACAACCTGCAGGGATTGGGGGTGGAGACAAGATAGAAGCAGTGGAATCCACCAGTAGGTAGCTATAATACATGGAGGCTAGGGCCAGAGTGGCAGCAGTGGAAGGGGTGAGAGGGACAGATTCTGGATATATTTTGAAGGGACAGCCAATAAGATTTCTGATGTATCAGGTAAGAGAGAGACACTAAGGATGACTTCAAGGTTTCTGCCTGAGCAACTGTGAGCAGGATGAACTAGGTGGAGCAGGAGAGAGGGGGACATTGAGAGTTCAGTTCTGGCAGCATTGAGTTTGAGATGTCTATTGGACACATGAACAAAGACGATGAAAAGGCAGTTGGCTATTAGTTTGGAGTACGGGAGTGGGATTTGCCCTAGAGATATTTGCGAGGCATCAGCATATAGATGGTATTTAAGGCCAGGAGACTGGATACGATTATAGAGGGAATGAGTATAGATTGAGAGAAGAGGACCAAGGACTGGCCCTGGAGAACATCAACATTAAGAAGTCCAGGAAAAGAGAAGGAACCATCAATGGAGATTGAGAATGAGCAAGAAGGTGTGGTGTCCTGGACAGTGTTTGAAGAAAGTTTATCAAGCAGAAGGTGGTGAACAGCTTTGTTTCTGCTAATTCAAGAAAAATGAGGACTGAAATAGCCACCAGATGTATCATTGGTAACCTTGGTGAGAGGAGTTTTGGTGCAGTGTTGGGAGGGAGGGGAGCCAAAGCTTTATGGGGATAGGTTGGAGGGAAATGAGGAAAGAGAACTGAAGAGAGAAAGACAAAACAAAGTTTTGCTGCAAAGGGAGCAAACAGTTAAAGGGATACTTAGCAGGGAGAAATAGGGATGAGAAAATTTGCCTTTTTCGAATGCGTGAAAAATGAGAATAGAAATGAGAATAGCATATGCATGACGAAGGTAGTGTAAGGGAGAAAGGGAAGAATTACTACAGCAACGTTCCTGAGTACACAAGGGGGTGTGGCTTCTAGTATGCGGGGCATGACAAGTTCATCTATGCTTAAGAGGAAGGGAAGTAGAATATATGGGTACAGATGCTGGCAGGTAGGGAGGCAGGGTGGTGGAATCTAGAAGTTCTCTGATTGCTACATTTTCCAGTGAGGTATGAAGCAAGGTGTTCAGTTGACTGCTGGCTCTGCTTTCAAAATATATCAAGAATCCAATCACTTTGTCATCATTTCAGCAGTTATCATCCTGGTCCAAGCTACCAATTCTCACCCAGGTTTTTGCAGACAGGTCTAGTGACAGGTCTCCCTGCTTCCACCCTTGCCCCACGACAGATGTTATATTAACACATAAGTCCATCATGTGACTCCTCTGCTCTAATCCTCCCATGGCTTTCTATCTTACTCAGACAAGTCAAAGTTGTTTCTTCCCCTCTACCTTCCTTCTGCAATCTCAACTCGTACTGCTCTCCTCCTTACACTGTACCTTCCATACCAACCTTCTTGTTGTCCCTTGAACCCGGCAGTCATGACCCTTCCTGAGGACCTCAGGACACGCTCTTTCCACTGTTTGGTGTGTCTCAGTGTGGCTTCCTCGACCATACTAAAATTACAACTCATTCCTTATATTCCCTATCTCCCTTCACTGTTCTATTTTTCTTATGGCACTTCTCAACATCTAACATACAACATACTTCATTCATTCATTCAGTTTATTTTTTATTATTTTTTTATTTTTTTATTATTTTTTTGAATATATGAAATTTATTGTCAAATTGGTTTCCATACAACACCCAGTGCTCAGTTTATTTTTTAAACGCTGATTTATTTATTTTGAAAGAGAGAGAGGGAGAAAGAGAGAGCATGGGTGCGTGAGTGGGGGAGGGGCACAGAGAGAGGGAGAGAGAATCCCAAGCAGGCTCTGTGCTGATGTGGGGCTTGACCCCATGAACCATGAGATCATGACGTGAGCCAAAATCAAGAGTCAGGCACTTAACCGACTGAGCCACCCAGGCGCCTCCTCATTCAATTTATTACTTATCTCTCTCCCCATTGGAATGTAAGTTCACTCTAAGCAGGCACTTGTACCCTGTTGTTTATAATGCTTTTCCCGGTACCTAGAATAGCACCAGGCACATTTTGTAGAACGAATGCATAAATTTCAGAACTATGCTGTGATGCCAAGGCCTAGTGCAGTCACTCCACAGAGACAAAATGTGCCCTCCACAAAAATTTGGTTTGATTATTGACAGTGAGGATGCCACACAAGCACCAAGAGGGTATGAAAAGGTTTCTTACTCACATAATGGGGCTTCTTGGGTAGAGCAGGGCTGACTCCCATGCTGGTCTCAAAGTGGCATCAGAGTATGGAAAAATGATACCGTCCTGGGCTTTGTGGTTAGGAGGTGGGGCTGGGGTGAAGATTCCCATGCACTGGCCAGGTTTTATTTAGTTTGAACCTCCCGCTAGTGCCAAAGGAAGGAGTGTCTGTACATTCTTACCAGCTTGCCTAGGTATAGGGCAGAAGGAGAAGAGAGAGTGATGGTTGGCTTGAAAGTTGGTAGCAGTTAAACATCATAAATTCAGTCAGACTCTTTATTACAGGACCCATACCAAGTAGGATTGTTAGCGTGTTTCATGTTCTCTGATTCTACCTGGGATGTAGCACATCACATCCGCAAGGGATCTTAAGGGCTCTAGGCAAATTGCCTCATTTTCCAGATGAAGAAGACGGAGTCCAGTTCCACTATGTTGTCTTGTCTTTGCAAATTCCTTTGTAAGTTAGCTCGGGGGCTGGCTCCCCTATGGCAAGCCCTAGGGCTATACATAGGCTCTTAAAAACAATCTTGAACAAGTTTTTAAACTCTTGACTCTCAGAACCCTTGTCTATGAAGTTCTTATAATAATATCTACTGTGCTCCTATTAGAGTAAAGTTTCAATGGAAGAATGTTTATAAAGTGCTAGGACATGGTAGTGCTCTGGGAATAGTCATCGCCAGAGTCAGAACATAGTACCCTCTAGCTAAAATCCTAGTCTGGGCATATTTAAGTGAACACTCTTAACTAGCATAAAATAGGTAGAATAGAATTATTTCATTCCATTTCAGAAGCAACTACTTACTTTATTTTCAATTTAAAAAAAATTTTTAAATGTTTATTTATTTTTGAGAGAGAGAGAGGGGGGGCAAGAGGCAGAAAGAGAGGGAGACACAGAATCCAAAGCAGGCTCCAGGCTCCCAGCTGTGAGCACAGAGCCTGGCCTTGAAGACTTTCGAACTCACAGACCGTGACATCATGACCTGAGCCGAAGTCAGATGCCTAACCGACTGAGCCACCCAGGCACCCCTCAACTTTTACAAACCTACTAACTCTATCAAAGTTTAAAACATCCCTCTTACCCTATAAAGTTCACCAGTGCTCCTTCCTCAACAATCACCTTCTCCAGAAGCAACTACTCTTTTAATTTCTGCCACTCTATGGTAATTTTGCCTATTCTATGTCTTCATATAAATGGAATTATACATTATCTACTCTTCTGTATCTAGCTTCTTTCACCTAGCATAATTGTCGTGAGGTTCATCCATGTTATATTCAGAGTTCATTCCTTCTTATTCCTGAGTAGTATTCCATTGTAATCCATGATATCCCACACTACATTTTCTTTTTCCATTTTCTGGGATGGACATCATTATACATTTTAAAGAATCAAAACCAGGCATAGCTTCCAGAAGGGAACAATGCCCCATTATTGAAAGGTTCTGAACAACAGGGTAGATAAATGGGCCCCCATCTGAAGGAGAGTTGAGTGTCTTTACAGAAAATTTTATCTACCTCTCACAGTCACTCATTTTGCTCTGCCTGGGAATTTCCTAGCAGAGACATTAGAGAGCTTTAAAATTTTTGACTTTTCAATTGAGATGGTGCCAATTCCTTATAATTTTGTTTTCTTTTTTTTTTGAAAAAAATTTTTAACGTTTATTTATTATTGAGAGACAGAGAGACACAGAGCATGAGCAGGGGAAGGGCAGAGAGAGAGGGAGGCCCAGAATCCGAAGCAGACTCCAGGCTCTGAGCTGTCAGCACAGAGCCCGACGCGGGGCTTGAACTCACAAACTACGAGATCGTGACCTGAGCCAAAGTCGGTCGCATAACCAACCTGAGCTACCCAGACACCCCAATGTTGTTTTCTACTTTAGTTCTCTTTTTCAAAATGCTTTCCCCCCCTTTTTTCTTTTATTGTAGGCTTTGCACTTCTGGGAGGACACCCTTGTTTTCTTACCACGCAAGATATTCATTTGGGTGTGAATGAAAGTCTCACGGACACAGCTCGGTTTGTAAATCTTCTTCCCTTCAAAGCTTATTTCAGAATTGATAAATTTCAAAAAGGAAATATGCTTCTCTTTAAATAAGGTTTTTCCCCCTCAGCATCCTTTGTACTGTTCTCTGTTTTCCTCCTCTCTTTACCTGATGCTCTGAATACCTCTCTCCTCATCCTCTGGTCAGTTTCTATGGGTTAAGATAATTTTTTTTCCTTAGCAATTTGAAGAGGTTTCTGATTATAAAAATTTCAAACTTAGGGAAACTTGGAAAACATCAAGTGTGACTCATATTTTACAGTTGAAGAAACAGATGTCCAGGGAAACTGACATGTTCAGTGACTCATGACTAACTAGTTAGCATCAGAGCAGGTAATAATATTAACAGCTAACATTTACTGAGCATTTATTATGTGCTAGGCATTGTTTTAACTTATTTAATCCTATAACAAACCAAACAGATTGGCATAAAGAGGTGCAACAATTAGGAACGTACTAGCTACTATGACACAAAAATTTTATAATGTCAATGGCTAACATAGTGTGGATGTTAGCCATTAGTAAGTAACTTAGTAAGAGGGAAATATTCATTATTTATGTGGCTTTTCAGGGACTCCAAATGAGAATGGCTCTACCATTTTCAACGTGTGGTGTCCAAGGTCATCCTGGGTGTCTACATCCAGCCAGGAGCTAGGGGAAGAGAGTATAGGGATGGGATACTTGCTTCAAACTCACCTTAGCAGGGAAGTGACACAATCACTTGCACACACATTCTATTGTCAAGCACTAGTAGCTTACCCCTATCTAGATAGAAGTAGAGGTAGGAAAAGTCTCTTAACCATTATATTATAAAGACTGAAATATAGACACCCCCCCCGGACTCCCCATGAAATGCTGTCACCATTATAGCATGTTTGAATGAGAACTACAGAGCAAATGTCTTTGTTTAAATATTTCACCCTTGATATCAAAGACTAATGACTTTTTCCCGAAAATGATATGCCATAAAGTGTCCTTGCAACACTACTTTTTATGGAAGCTACCCTTGTATGTACTGAAGAATCTACCTCCTCTGAATTGCTAGATTTGAAATAACTCATCTTTAGACCTTTTAGTGATATTATATCAGATAGGACCATGTTAGTATTAAGAAGCATTTGTGTTCATCTTCCGGATGCATGGAACAAAAAGAATAAATAAACCTAAATGAGTTTTTCTTCCAAATATGCTGCCGCTGACTGGGGTTACATTTGCCTAATACTTCTGCTTCCACAAAAGTGACCTATACTTCATTCCTAAGCAAATATTACAAGCTGGTTAAGGGATGAAGCCAGGGGCACATCCAGGGGAGAAGTCTCAGTGGGGATCTTCCATATAGAACCAAGCGAATGATGGTAAGTCATGTGTGAAGTAGTGGTTGCAAAAAGGATAAACTTGGAGGAATGGCTGAACATCCAATAAAGAGTTAAGGGGTGCAGACTGACAGCCAGAAAAAGTTCAGGACCCGGAAATCAGTGGAGTGGGCAGGAGCCCAAGAGCAAGAGACAAATAACCAAGCGTGGGTTGAAAGCTGAGAATGAGTATAAACATGTTCTTTGCTGTGTTTGCTCTCCACACAACAATTCCCATGCAAGTCCTTAGAGGAGCTCTACACAGGTCCCGAGAACAACAATCTGCTCACAAGTTCCAACGTAATTGGGACCTTTTAGTCTCTGTAATTAGTTCCATTGCTATGTGGATATATGGATACATAAAAGTGGATCCATAGAATTCATTCTGATCATTCCTTCTTACCCAAAAGACTCTGAATAAAAATAATAGCTCCTCCCTAAAGGGTGGCCCTCTTGTACATTATCTCTAAATCTTTGTAAAAGCCTTACACATTAAGTATTATTGGCCCAATTTTATAGATGACAAAACCATGACTTAGAGAAGTAATGGAGCTTAGCAGTGAGGTCAGCATTTAAATCACGTTTTTTTGTTTGTTTGTTTGTTTTTAAAGGCCATGCTATTTTGGCTACCCCTACTGCCTCTCATATATAATCCAGGAGAGAGATGGTGAAATACATTATGGAAAGCATTGACTTATGTGTCTTGAGGTCCCCAACACCACCCCCCTGTTTGATGATTCACCGGGAGGATTCATGGACTCAGCATATAGTCATACTTACAGCTGTGACTTATTACAGTGAAAGTATACCAAACACAATCAACAAACTGAAAAGGCACATGTAGCGAAGTCTAAGGGAAACCAGATGCAAGATTCCAAGAGTCCTTTTCATGGAATCACTCAAGGCCCATTTAATTCCCTTAGTAACAAGTTGTGACAACAGGTGTGAAATGCTCCCAGCCAGGGAAGCTCCTTAGAGACTCAGTACCCAGGATTTTTACTGGAGGCTGGTCACACAGCATCCTCCATTTGACATGTACCCAAATCCAGACTCTCAGAAGGAAAGCAGGCATTCACTTTAAACCATATTGTTTGTAAAAACAAAAACAAAAACATTCTAGGCACAGTGGGCCACTCTTATCAGTCCTGGAAACCCTCCCCAAATTGAAATTCCCGGATGCCATCCAAGGGCCAACCTTCCATGCAGGCCTTTAAAAGGCTAGCAGTCAGGCATGGCTTGGAAATCACAAGGCTCGAGACCTAGTCCAAGCTTTGCCACTTACCTACTGTGAGTCATAGGTGAAAACTTCCCCAGATCGTAGTTTCCTTTTCTATAAAGTGAGGGAATTCTGATCCTTAAGGCCCAATTTATATTCTCAAGTGCATGCAAATATATTAGATTATGAAGTGGTAGGCCTTCAACAGAGGGGTGTCCCAATGCAGACAAATGCAGAATTCTGGGTCCAGACTCAGAAATTCTAACTCTGCGGGTGAGAGCTCAGATAGTTTTGAGGAATTTATACTTCAACAAGCCCCTCAAATGATTCTGTTGCCTGGGTGGCTGGACCACACTTTGCAAAACCCCGAATTACAAAGTTGTGTAGTAATCCGGGGCTGTTGTGCTGTTAATCTACTGTGCTAGTGTGTGAGTTAAAGGAATGGTAAGGAAGGGACAGTTAATAAGATATTTATATGATTTCATGATAACCGATTGTGAAGGGTACGTTGATAGTGGAGGCAAAATTATTTCACATTGGTTATTCTTAAAATATCTGTGGATACATTAGCAGAAGCAGAAAAATGAAAGGAGTGTCTGCTTTGGAGAGAGGGTGCTAGATTAGGTATTAGACATATTGCATTAAAGGTTGAACTTCCAATATGAATGTCCACAGGCCACTGGAGATAGACCTTGGGGGAAGTTGAATGCTGGATAAATAGAACTATAAGCTCAGTGGTAGAACTAACTGTGGGAGAACTGCATTGTGGGAGAACTGCAGAAGGCTGAATCTTGTGGACAGGCACAGTTAGGGAAGGGCAGGAGGAAATACTTAGGTACAAGGAGACTAAGGATAGCGCAATAAACAGAAGAGGCTGAAATGCAAGGTGGGGATGTCAGAAAGGGGGGCAGGGTAGCTACCGTGGCATCTGACTTTCTTCTGTATACCCCATTCCTGCTCCCTCTGCCAAAATATCTGACAAGATATGGCTGAGATTCCGAAATTCAATGAATCTAAACTGAAGAAGACAGGAGAAGTCCACTGCCTTTCACAGAAGCAATTGAACAGGAGAAGCAAGGAAGTGAATCTTAATGACATCTACCCTGCCAATATGCGCCGTAAAATCCATAGCAATTGCCTCTCCTTGCTTTTTGTCGAAGTTAAACTTTGTAAGATGCGAAGAGATGGGATGATGTTTAAATGACAGTGCTGGCCTTTTCAAATCAAGAGAACAGTGCACACCTGACACTGATTGATGGCCTTGCCTCTCCATCCGCCTGTCTGGCTACTTTGGGGGCCCGGTGGAATAAAACAAAAAAAGTGACTGCCTGTTGGTGAGAGAAGACCCAAAGGGGGAATACAGTGAATGTGGCAACAGAAAAGAAAAAGGCAAAACTGGGCTAGCCTCCCGAAGGCTGTTAAGTACAATTTCCAAAGTGTCAATTATTTAGTCAAATGATTTAATTATTCGTTTATTCAAAAATATTTCTTGAATGCCTAGGTTTGCTTCCAGGAATTGTTTTAGCACTGAGAATGAAATGCTGGTCGAATCAAACAGAATCCTTGTTTGCATGGAAATTATACTCTAGAGGGAGGGGGCTTTCACTAAACAAAGAAAGCGTGACGAGACCAGCAGGTTGGGATGAGTGTTAGGACGAAGCAAAAGCAGGGTGATCTGTGGGGGTTACTTTAGATTGCGTGGCACCCTCAGCCTAGCATAAACCCAAGTTCTGGACTCCCAGGAGGAAGGGAAGTGTTCAACATCATCCATAGTGTTTATACAATTTAGGCAGTGAACCATCCTTACTATCTCTAGGACTGGTGGAAACCCTCCCGAAGTCTAAGTTCCCAGACGCCAGCTGAGGGCCAGCCCTGTCAGTAGGCCTTTCGAAGACAGCCACGTCAGAACTGCTGTGTTAACTCATTTTTGCACAACTGAGCTCTCATCTCTTCTGGATTTTGCTAAATATCCTTTACCTAGATGCACCCTAACTGGTAAGGGAGCACATATTGCACCCATAGGAGGACAGCCTCAAGATCTGAACTGTTTCCGCAGTTCAGTGTGGATCCCTGTAGGGCCAAGCACCCATCAGAGAATCAAGCATTGCCCAATTCCCTCTTTTGAAAAGTCTCTCTCAGCAATTCTTTCCCACCCCGTAACATACCAGAAGACACAACAGATACGTATTTTTTCAGGTAAATTTACTTCAGCTGTAAGGGTGTTTTCAGATTTTGTCAATTCTCTGGTGCTCTCCTGGGGTTAAGAGTTGGATAGTCTATTTTTCCCTTCACTGTGGGCTTGTCCTTTTACATGTGACACCAGAAGTGACACCTTAGCATGACTGAGATGATGCATCCTTCAGAAGTTTGAAATCGGATGGAACTTAGCAACAGCCGTGGGGCATTA